GGTCTTTCACTGACTGTGGGGTGAGACTGTTAGTCAACAAGTCTCAACCATCCATTATCCTCACACCCCCAGAACTTGGGTTACAGGCACACATGGGTTACAGGCATACATGGTCTCCCCAGCCCCTAGTTCACCCTTTCCAGTAATAACATGACTACCATGTGACCTACTGTAGTTCACACTGCCATCACTTCTTTATCCTTGGCACTTATAACAGTTCCAGGTATACAGCAGGTGCTCCATAAATATCTGCAGATTAAATACTCGAGTGCCATGTCACTGCGGCTCACAACCCTCTCCCCACATCACTGGCTGTCACTCAGAACAATGGTGCTAATTGGTGCTACCAGTATTTTAAAATCATATTTAATCTATTTTGTGTGCGCCTGTATAGGAGTGGCATGTGTGTTCCACAGCTCACATGTGGGAACCAGGGGTCCACTCCTTCAAACATATGAAGCCCTGGGATTGAACTCAGGTTGTCAGTCTTCATGGCATTGGGAGGACCCTGCCAACATCTCACCTGCTCTGCCACCAGGTTTTGAATATTTAAATGATGGGACCAGCCCTTGCTAAGTCCTTGGTACACGTCACCTCCTTAAACGCAGACAACACAAGAAGCAGAAACAGATGCAGTTATAGTCTCTACTTTAGAAGATAAGGAGGCAAGTGACTTGACAAGGTAGTGCATGCAGGATTTGAGTGGAGACCCTGAATCCAGAGTTCCTGCTCTTTGTGTTACACCAATGATCCAGCTTCCCGGAGGGGAACCCAGAGCCTGATTCTACAGCAGCTCTGACTCACTGCAGAAGCCCTCGGGAGTGTAGGGCTCCATGGCACACACAGGCAGAGATGGAACAGCTGGACTCAGTGAGCTGTTAGAGGGACCCAGAAGCTCACTGCCACCTACCCTCCTCCCCACCTCAAAGTGCTCAGACTTTGACAGCTGGAGGGAATCCTAGGCCAGGTCTCCTCACACTAATTGGCTTAGGAAGCCATGCTTATCTGGGTAAAGCTGGGGCCCGTGAGTTCAAGATTAGGGAGAGTGGGATTCATGGCTTACTGCTTTGCTGCCCACGGGGTCAGAGGAGGCAGAGTTGGGACTTTAATTGGCTTAACAGCCCTCAGTGGCTTAACAGCTCAGAGGGCTGGGAGTGGGAGGTGGATAAGGACAGCCTGGTGACCAACCCATGGGCAGATTCATGCCCCACCAAGGATATGTTTGCTTTCCTCCCAGGGACTCAGTCTGCTACTGCCTCAAGGCATTTCCCCATGATCCCATCTCCCCTCCAAGTCCCTACACCCCCTACCTCCCACCCTCAGCCCCCTCCCCACGGCCCCAGACAACACACCAAGTGTGTCATGATATGGATGGAGCTGGGTTTGGGAACTAGACAAAAGGGCAGGCACCTTCCCTTCCTGCACTTATTCCTGTGACCTCAGTCAAGTTCTCTGACTTCTCTGCATTTTGCTTCCTTGTCGGAAGAACAAATGTAGCAATAAGCATGGAGGGAAGGTTTTAATGCAATGCCTGGAACACCTCACACAGCCCTTGCTGCAATATGGCAGGTGTGCAGTGTCTGTGAGCTCCCTCCTTTAATGTTTTAGCTAATGGCATCCGTGTGGAAGGACCTTGTCTTGTGAAGTGTTTGCCTAGGGTTATATAATGAAGACACCCCCCACTCCAATGTTTCCTTTGGCTGATACTATTTTTTAAGCTCTCTCTCTCTCTCTCTCTCTCTCTCTCTCTCTGTGTGTGTGTGTGCCACTGCGCAGGTTTAGAGGTCAGAGAACAACTTGTAGGGGTCAGTTTTTCTTTCTCCCTTGGGGGTCTTGGAGAGTGAACTCAGGTTGCCAGGCAGGCTTGGTAGCAAGCACCTTTAGCCACTGAGCTCTCTCCTCATCACCCACTCAGAACATCTGCTGGAACAGCTCATGTGGTAACATGTTATGCCAACACCTCTTGATTTCTAGGCATGCCAAACTGGATGGCTTCTCTCCACCTTCTCTGAATGTTCCTGTTTATCCAGGCCCTTAGCAGTTTGAGAGTCCAAAGCTTGTGGGACAAGGGTCCAGAGTATTCAGTGACAACAGAACCGTAGCCTGGTTAATGTGGCCTGGTGTGCTCTTCTCATCCCCAGTAGCCATTTCTATGAGATCTCTCCTAATTGACTGCAGAGTCTGAATTTAGTGAACAGTCAAGCTGCCAGTAATTGCTTTCCAGCTCTCTGTAGACCCCAGCATCACTTCTTCCTTTAAGTGATTTCTATTCTATGCAGGGAACAAAGTACCCGGCAGGTGACCAACTCATTTCAGAACCTCTCCAAAGGGCAGGTGTATTAGGAAGCAGAGGAGACAGAATTGTAACCTAGCCATAGAAGAGGTATTGGGGGAGGACCCCAAATTGACCTTGGTGACCTTAAACTGTCTTGGTCAGGAGGTGGTCATATGGAAATGTACCATATCGTTATGGGTCATGAGACAGATGCCACATCTTAGCATCACCACATCTAATCATATCATTTCACACACAGGGAAACTGAGGCTCAGAAGTGGAAAGAACCTGGCCCAAGGTCACTTTCAAACCAAGATGAAAACGTAAATCCTCTGGAAGCACACCCTCCCCAAATTCAGCATCTTCCTACAGTACGAAGTTTCCTCATCGTTACCCACAGTCCAACTACCTGCCCCCCTTTTCACATTCTTATCTCCATGCAACAGAAGCCGGAGGTTCTGTCATCACGCAATCTCACAATCTCAGACTCATAATTCTTCAAGCTTTGGGGGAACACTTTGGTGGCAGAATTGCAAGGTGGAACTTGGTTTTGAAGATGCAGACTCTTGAGTGCCAAAGCTCCCAGTTGCTCACTGTGTGACCTTGGGCAAGGGTGCCCCCCTCTCTCAGCCTCTGTTCCCTCATCTGCCAAGTGAAAATTATAATACTAACCACATGACAGAATCATTAGAAAAGACACAGGAGAGAACGGAGGCAACCAGTGGGCTTGGCAGAAAGTGAGTGCTTAATAAAATAATTGCAATGGCATTGTAAATTAGGGTTTGAGTACCTAAGTGAATGTTTAAAAGAAATGCAATCAAGAGGAAGAATCCACACACTAAGACCATGCAAACTGTGTCTAAAATTTTTACAGGCCTAATACTACTACAGCCAATTTCTTTCTCCTCCCCCAGAAAGATTCTGAGTTTTAAAAGTACCACACTATGGTCACAAACCACTTCCATAGGTTGGGTTCCCCCTGCTCATTTGATTGTTGCCCTGTCCAGTCATCTCATCCCGACTCTCACTTTCCCAGTGTAGAACAGTGGAAATAGTGGAGAGAGTTCTATTTGCAGAACCACGGAGTTCAGTGGCCTCTTAGCCACTTCCAGTCACTCCCCAGGATGCCCATTTACAGTCATTTCCCCCCATATTTGAGGGAAACTCAGTTTCTGTTCAAGAAAGAAGAGTCCTGTTAGCATTGTGTAAGTAGGTTCTGAATGGGGAGAAGGAGGGTAGCCTATGTGTCGTGGGGCAGCTGGCCCACTTTAGGCTGAAGGGAAAGGGGAATGAAGCTTTGGCTACCCAGAATAGGAAGTTACCATTTCAGAACCTAAAAATAACCCACCATCTGTCCACTTGGGCACAGAATGACAAATGCAGATTCGTCCCTGGATGTAGACATGAATATTTTTGTGCGTCAGGCTAATAATAATAAGAGCATGGATAGTGTTTCCCCCTCCCCTGACTCCAGGGCTAGCAAAGTAGAATGGAGCACATCATCTTGGCAGGTGAAGACAGGGAAACCAAGGTAGAGAGAGGATCAACAACAGAGCAAGGGTGACACATGGCAAGTGAGCAGCTGGGCCAAACACTAGGGGTCCAGTTTCCAGGGCCCAGTCCAACTGCATCTTCTGAGTTAGGCAGAATACACTAAAAAGTAACAGAGTAAATAACCATTCTCTGTATCTGTAGAGGGACGTCCCCCATGCTCTCCACACATCTGCTATGATAATCCCTTACTTCCCCCAAATACGTTCCAGTCTGCAGAATCCTCACACAGACCTCCTCCCGCCTAGTCATCCCAACAGGTTAAAAAACTGTAACAGTAAGTCAGCGATGGGAAGTGTAGAGAGTAAGTCATTAAGACAGGAAGTGTAGAGAGTAAGTCAGTGAGACAGGAAGAGTAGAGATTCCCTCTCACTTCACAGGTGAGGAAACAGACCTGGAGGAGGAGGTGTGCTAAGATCACATAGTAAGCAAATTCATTTTGTCACTGCAGGTACAGCCCAAGGAACTCGAGTGACTGATTCAAGAGGAGCTGTGGTTTAGAATTCCCCCTCTCTCCAGTTAACACAGCCCAGCAGGCACCCCACTTGCTGGCAAAGGAAGAAGCCTGGAAGTGAACAGTTTGAATGAAGCCCCAGTGTTGTTTTCCGGTCTGAGGACTAAGGGGCAGACAGTAGCTAGCTAGTGACAGAGTCAAGATTTCAAATCTCCTTGTCCCACGCCCTTTCTCAATAAAACCAGGAAGTTTACACGGGATAGTCATTTAGGTGCCTCACATTCTGCCTCTCCTAGGATGTTGGAGGTGAGCTGCAATTCTGAACTGAGTGTCTCTGAGAGCTGGGAAAGACTTCTGAATGTTTCCCCATGTCTAGGCTTAATACCTGGACATGGAGGAGGGGGGTCAGGACTGAAAGGATCCCTGTGGCCCTTTTCCAAGCATAACACTTGTCCCCATGCTCCCCAACTTCTCCTGGCTCACACATTACTAAAGGTCTCTGGTCCCTTCTTGCCCCATTAGCCAGATCAAAGCTATGGATCTTGGGTCCAACAGAGTTTGGCAGAGGAGAGGAGCTGACTGACAAGAAGTCAGAGCTGCAATGGAGTGGGACGGGATGGGGGGTCAGGACGGAGCAGGGCGGGCTGCAAAGGCCAGAGCAGATCTGGGGCGGCATCCCACTCCCAGGACTCAAGCTTCCTTCACCTGCTCTTTTCCTACCTCCAGACCTGGCCGAGCTGCAGGAGGTGAACGAGGGTCTGCAGTAGCCAGACGCAGAGGCGGCAGCAGCGACGGCGGTAGGCGCTGGCTGAGGACGGCGCGGGCCGGGGGATCAGCTCCTGGCTGCCTTCTTTGGTCCTGAAGGCGATAGCGCTGTCCTTGGTGCTGATGGCGGCTCCGCCGATGTCGCTGTCCTTGGTGCTGACGGCGGGTCCTGGGGTCCCCGCGGGCTCCGAGTAGTCGTAGACAAACCAGCGGAAGCTGAGCAGCTGCACAACCAGGGAGGGCAGCAGCACGAAGAGCAAGGTGAGGCCGAAGTAGGTGCTCTGA